CCATGAGGAGCATTCCCCACCTAACCTTTGGATTTCAGTGCACCCCTATTCTCCATAAGCCTAGTTCCGCCCGTGTGTTGGTAATGTACATTTTGTTTCATACAAAACACAAATAACTTCAAAATGTAAATGACAAAATGGGTATTCATATTACCTGGGGCAAATTTCTCAATGATGCCGCTCTGAAGTGTAATGACCTGTCACTGGCTCGTTCACCCCTACACAGCGAAGAAGATGCTGGCTCCAGATGTGTTTAAATGGTTAAAATATCAACGTTTATTACAGGGTTTTACGCGACAGAAATGTGACCAGTACAAGAACACACATGCGTATAGAATGAACGCAGAAACTATATATATAGCGCATATTAAACCTGACTGAACTAAATTGTCTACAAGCAATATAAAGTTCATTTTACATCTTACACTACACTACACTACACTTACACTACACTAAGCAACACTACACAACATTATGCAACACTACACTTACACTACACTACACAACATTTTACAACACTACACTTACACTACACTACGCAACACTACACAACATTTTACAACACTAAACTTACGCTAAGTAGGGAACGCCTGAAAACTCACAGGCAGATATATCAACAGTGCCGAAATGCTACCACCTCTTTAATCATCTCCGCTAAAAGGAAATATTGTCTTCACAGTATAGAGAATAGTATGGGGAAACCTGTTTCCCTTTACAGGTTTATGAATACCCTGCTTGGCAAAGGAGGTGATGGTGATAGAGTACCTCCCGGACAAAGTCACATGGGACTCGCAGATTCCTTCAACTCATTTTTCATTTCAAAGATTGATACCATTCGACAAGGACTTTCAGCCAAGGAAGTTGATAGGTGTTTCAGTGAACCTCTCTTCACAGGCGATCCACTAACACAGTTTGCGCCCTTCACCCCCAAGGACATCGAATCAATTATCCGCTCTTCAAAGCCTACCACCTGCGACTCCGACCCATACCAACTAAACTTCTGTTTCAATATCTTGACTTGTTGCTGCCAAACATTACCAAAATTGTCAACTCAAGTTTGGAGAGTAGTGTATTTCCAAACAGATTCAAGCATGCTGTAGTCAAACCTCTGCTAAATAACCTGATCTTGACTCTCAGAATCTTCAGAACTTTCGTCCTGTCTGAAATGTATCCTTCATTTCCAAGACAATTGAGAAGGATGTGCATGTCAGACTCAAAGACCATCTCTCTAAACATCTTCTGCTTGATGAATTCTGGTCCAGTCCTGTTTGTGTTGTATACCAGATATGTCGGAAGGATTACTACAGACCACACAGTTTCTCACCATGCCTACGCTGATGACACCCAGCTCCTGAAAGCATTTCATCTGTCAGATCTCTCCACGTCTCTTCAGTGCATCGCTGAATGTACGCAGGACATCAAGTGCTGGATGACAGGAAACATGCTTAAACTTAATGACACAAAAACAGAAGCAGTTCTCATTGGTACAAAGCAACAACTTAGCAAGGTCAAAACCGACTTCCTTACAGTCGCAGACGCTGACGTCAGATTCTCTGATGTTGTTAAGGATTTGGGTGTCCACATCGACTCTTCCTTGACTCTGGATGCTCATGTTAACCGTCTGAGCAGGACCTGCTACTTTCACCTAAGATCCATTGGTAACATTCGGCAATACCTGACAACTGCTGCAACTCAAGCCCTTGTTCGAGCTCTTGTTACATCTAGGCTTGACTACTGTAACAGCATCCTTTCAGGCCTCAGTTCTAAACTCCTTGATAAGCTTCAGAAGATCCAAAACACTTCCGCCCGCATCATCAGCAAGACTTCTAAACGTTCCCATATAACACCGGTGTTGAAAGAACTGCATTGGCTACCAGTTAGGGCCAGAATTGACTTTAAGATCCTCTGTCTGACATACAAGTGCCTCCATGGTTTGGCTCCCTCCTACTTGTCTGAACTCCTACATCCGTATGTCCCCGCACGCAACTTGCGCTCAAACACACAAAATCGACTGGTCATCCCATCCTACAAACTGAAATCCTTTGGACACCGATCATTCTCTTACTCTGCACCTGTACTTTGGAACTCTCTCCCATGTGCCCTTAAAAGCTCTGACACAATTGACATTTTAAGTCCAGACTTAAACCCACCTTTTCTCAGTATATTATGTATAACTTCATCTGTAAATACTCCAGTGTAAATATTCTGTAGCGCTTTGAGCATGCCTTAGGGTGTGGAAGGGGCGCATTATAAATATGCATTTATTATTATTAACTACATTACACAACATTTTACAACACTACATTTACACAACACTACACAACAATTTACAACACTACACTTACACTGCACTGCGCAACACTAGACAACATTTTACAACACTGCACTACACTTATATTACGCAACGCTACACAACATTTTACAACACTGCACTACATTTTCACTACACTTACACAACACTACTTTTCACTACACTACATGTACACGACACTTCACTACACTACACTAACGCTACACTACACAACATTTTACAACACTACACTTACACTACACTACACTACACCAACACTACACTACACTACGGAACGCTACATTTTAAAACACAGCATTTACACTGGCTACACTAACACTACACTACGCAACACTACACAACATTTTACAACACAACATTTACAATACACTACACCAACACTACACTACACAACATTTTACAACACAACATTTACAATACACTACACCAACACTACACTACACAACATTTTACAACACAACATTTACACTACACTAGACCAACACTACACTATACTTACACTACACTACGCAACGCTACACTACACAACATTCTACAACACAACATTTACACTGGCTACACTTACACTACACTACGCAACACTACACAACAGTTTACAAGACTACACTTACACTACACTACACCGACACTACACTACACTACACTACACTTACACTTACACTACACTATGCAACACTACACAACATTTTACAACACAACATTTACACTGGCTACGCTTACACTACACTATGCAACACTACACAACATTTTACAACACAACATTTACACTGGCTACACTTACACTACATTACACAACGCTACACTACACAACATTTTACAACACAGAATTTACACTGGCTACACTTACACTACGCAACACTACACAACATTTTACAACACTACACTTACACTACACTACGCAACACAACACAACATTTACACTGGCTACGCTTACACTACACTACGCAACGCTACACAACATTTTACAACACAACATTTACACTGGCTACGCTTACACTACACTACACAACGCTACACAACATTTTACAACACAATATTTACACTGGCTACGCATACACTACACTACGATACGCTACACAACATTTTACAACACATAATTTACACTGGCTACACTTACACTACACAACATTTTACAACACTACACTTACACTACACTACGCAACACAACACAACATTTACACTGGCTACGCTTACAGTACACTACGCAACGCTACACTACACAACATTTTACAACACAACATTTACACTACACTACACTTACACTTACACTTACACTTACACTACGCAACGCTACACTACACAACATTTTACAAGGAAGGATAACAGAAAATGGACGAACAACTTCTTTGTTGCTGCGAGAGCTTACTTTTCTAAATGCCTCTAAAAGAAGTTAACATTTTACAACACTAAACAACCTGATTACATATACCTTACAGGACCCTTGAAATTGGTAAGAAGGGGCCCTCTGGACCTAATTTGGTAGGACAAGGTAAAACCATGTGTGAAATATAGTATGCCAATTTACTAGTGATGCATGTGGACTGACGAATTTTGTTTTGGAATGAATCACGATTCCACATGTCAAATAGAAATTTTGGAGATACTATTACTTAGCTTACACTAGATACAAACTGTAAAGCAGTTGTAACCTGGCCACGATTGACATTGCCATTTCTGTCCTCAAGTGGCATCTTTTGGTCAATCTTCGGGGACGTTGTGATCCTATTTTTCTTGGTGAAGGAAAACAGACTTGAAATTTAGTCTTTGGCATCTTTTGATGGTCGGCGAAGCCGCGATCCAATGCAAATACCAAATATACCAAATATATTATTAATAATTTTATGTATATATCTGCTAAAACCTTTCACAAAATGCTCGTTGCAATTGCGTAAATATTCTGTTGGAGTCCAGTCAGCACGACGAATTGCAATAATTAATTTCTTAGGAAGTTCTTCATCCTTTGGAATACAGCAAAACATAAAAATTCAACAATCGGCGGTAACGACTGGCAGACATTATTTTTCGTAAATAACGAGTCCATGAAAATCGAAGTCAACGTTATGATTGTGCCGACAAACAGCGTAGTGCGTTTTGGGTTTGTTTTGTTTTGTTTTGGTTTTGACGTGAAGCGAAGTACGTATGCCCGGAATTTTGTTTTGCGCATAATAACCCAAGATGACGACAGTTCAATGGCGGAACTGAAATTCATGTATGAATTCAAATTACTTCACCAACATAGAATAAAATATTCAGTCGAACAAGGCCAAAACATCGTAGAAGAAAACTTCAGCTAGAAAAGATATGTTTACGTAGATTCCAGGTATTGCCAAAATACGTAATTTCCGTATTATATTTAGCCTGTTAACATGTTTCTTTGGCGATATGGCCACTGGTCCTTACCCGGGAACGGATGGTGCATTAATAATTGAACGCCAAAAGAATGCCTTTCGTCGACATAAATATAGACAGTTCGGGTAATAATTACAACAAAGCTGAAGTACATATTTATGAGAAAAATGTACGGTTTCAAATTATGCGGCACTGTACTGTGTTGCCCGTAGAATATTGTGACATCATAATAGTGTGTATGTCGTAGCAGTGTTCTCGTTGCATTCATTATTCACCACTTGTGCACTTACGAACGAGTTTTATCTTTCACTTTATCACTATACACTGGAGATAAACCTACCATACATGCATTTCCTGTATCAACGTGTGCGAAATACGCAGGCAACATATGGGAAAGCGCGTAAAATCTCCAAATCATCATCATCATCATCATCATCATCATCATCGCTGTCTTCCTTATCATTCACTTCCATGCCACTACTTGTGCCGTGTTGATCTATATTTTCACCAACGAGTAATTATTCGACATGTGCCGTTATCCAATGCACGGAGATGTTCAGTTAAATTCTTCTTCTTTATCCAACTCCATCTTGAATCCAACTTTGGTAAGCGGACGCATGTACCTCTGTGTATCTACTTAACTGCGATGAGTTCAAAACGTTTCCGTGTCTCTTTAACTCGCTTATATTTTGCGGATCACTATTTTAAGCTTACGTGCGTTTCACAAAACGCGGATCCAAGCATGGGTTTTCCCCGTTTATATTTAGCTACAGGGGAAATCACCTATAAATGTGCCTATAGTCTGTTTCAGTCAATCTTTTGGCGTACTGACTGACTGACTGAGTTTTACGCCGCTTTTAGCAATATTCCAGCAATATCACGGCGGGGGACACCAGAAATGGGCTTCACACATTGTACCCATGTGGGGATTCGAACCCGGGTCTTCGGCGTGACGAGCCAACGCTTTAACCATCAGGCTACCCCACCGCCCCATATAGGCGTAAGCATTGCGTATCGGTTCTAAATTGTCATAGTGTTACTCGGCAATCATTAATGGATTTGTTCACTATTTCCGAATTATCGTTAAATCAAATCATACAAATTATATTGCTTGGTTAAATGTTATATACTCTGTGTTAGGTATTATGTGATACTTATATTAAGGGAAATCAGAGACCATATAATCTATTATATGGTCTCTGGGGAAATGAAGTATTATCATCATCATAAAGATCATGTACTGTACAATTCGAGACTGACATCAATGTATAATATACGCGCCTTTCTGACAAACTGTATTTATACAACAATGCACTTTTAACATAAAGAACAAAAAAGTATTCTATGGTGTCCAATCGTATGATGGCATACGCATGTTCAGTGAGTATTTGCTAAATATAATCACACGATTGGTCAAAGGGAGGAAAAATCGAATCTGACGTCGAACCTATAAATAGTTGGTTTTCCCAGTCCAAGAATAGTCTTTTTCCTTATCACAAGTTCACTATTGTGAACCTGTTCGTGTTGGGGTGTGTTATTAATGGATATATTTATGTGAACAACTCAGGGAAATGCATATTTCCCTTAAGATAGCTCTGTGTGCTTGTTTCTTTTGCTTAAATTGCTACTGTTATAACTTGTGTCTTGTGTTTTCTTAAACAATAAGAGACGCTATATGAAATGACAATGCGCAGATATATGTTTTGTATACTCAGCTAAAATAAGATAAGAATCTCTCTCTCTCTCTCTCTCTCTCTCAGACTTAGAACACTAAGACTTTGTCACATCCTGTCTTAACATGGTAGGAACGTCAGTTGTTTGTCAATAGCATATCCAGCAAGTCGGTATGTGTGGCATTCAAGCGTTGTCCTTGGTGGGCGTTCTTGCACTCATAACACGAACCTTAATTTGACATGCATGTTTATGTTCATTTTGTCTATTTCTTAAGTAATCTACAAGTCATGGATACAGGGTACTCCCATGTTGTTCAGTTATGTGGCCACGTCATCGTTAAAGGGCAATCTGTCTGAGCAGTAGTGACGACAAAAATAGGTCCACATCATGCATATTCATTTGTACGCCCGCTTTGTACTTGTGCATGTGATCGCAGCTGTCACGTGTGTTTCGGCACAGAAACGGAATGACACAAAGGTCGGGTAGTATAAGGAACTATACGCTAATGTCTGATAATTAGGATCTGCTGAAACCAGGCTGCTCCATTTTTGCAAAACTAGTCACCACAAATAGGCCACAGGGGCGTGTCACGCTTAGAAACAGAAACAGCTTTAGAAAGACATAGGTATACATAGACCCTACCCTATTTCTGTATAAAAGGATCGTGACAGTACTGACACACCCTTTGGGATTAGTATCATGGGCAAGTATGACCAATGACCAAACATAGAATAACGTTTTATGGTATCATAGACAAGTGAAGATTCCGAGTTGAAAGATGTCTGCAACAGCGTACATGTGCAGGCTAAATAGCGTTGAGGAAATACCAAAACGGTCTAAATGACGTTTGTTTGCTTGTTTGTTTGTTTGTTTGTTTCACTATTGATAAATTCAAATGTATTTTATGGGGGCGAGTGAGTATGCCTTTACGCTGCTTTTAGCAATAGAAATCAGAAATGGGCTTCACACATTGTACCTTGTGGGGAATCGAACTAGCATCGTTTAACCCACTGCCCCTTTTATAGGGATGTTTAGTAAGGTTAAACATGCAATATATGTATATATATATATATATATATATATATATATATATATATATATATAGACGTACGTACGTGCGTGCGTGCGTGCGCGTCCGTGTGTGTGTTATGCAAACTGAATAACCCATCACTTATGAATCTGGAAACGTTACAAACCATAAGATAGGCTTTATTGAAAAAAAGACCACCTTATATTTGGCATCTTCACAGAGAATACACAATGCTTTTTGTACCACCTAAACTAGAACCTTTTTCGACAATGTATCGATACCACACATATATTCGACAATATCAGTAATATCGATTACGCATCAGACAACAATTACTGTGAGTCCATGTAGATAACTACGCGTAAGAAATGACGTCATCATGCACACGGGGATTACCCAGTTGAGAAGATCGGTTTGAATCATGGTTCGCCGTGAAACATGGCTCAGTTCTTCGTTGGACACGACTGGAGACAGACGCACATGTATACAACCTGTGCCACTAACGCAGGCCGTTAAGCATTAAAGGGATGCTTGCCAACCGAGTCCAAGCCATTTCCTATGTGACAGCCCCCTCTTATCGGTCTGTGGATACTCACGATTCATCATGATACTGACCACTGTGTTAGTTGGACAAGAAGAGGATCTGTGAACTAAACAAGCGACCATCGAGATTCTCTTTGTTGGATATACATTTTTAGGTGTATGGGACCCTGTTTTTTTTTGTTTCGAAGCTAAATTCTAAAGGGATGTTACCTGGATGGCCATACAACAGGTAAGTGAAACTGATTTCCTTTCGACTGCATTGCTTTTGAGACTTGAACTCCCAGTCTATAACTGGGCAGCGAACTACGCATTATTTCAACCGGTGATTCCTCAGTCGGGCACCATTCATGAACACCTCCCAAAAATGCAACCATTTTGATATTGCCATTATCATCCTGTCTCAGCCGAATATTGACAATGACAAGTACTTCATGAAGACGAGAGATAGGCCAAACGGCTCATAACATTTCCCTAGACTTATCATGTTGGTGGCGAAGGGAAGGTTGTGTTAGCTTATATACTCCACGGAGTGATCGATGAGTCATAGTTTCGTACGCAAATAGAATCAAGTCATGTTCGTTTATCTATATGTAGATATTCGTGGTTCTGACAGCTTACACTCATGCTGGAGGTTTTGGCAGTAGTGGCAGTTCACAAGGCCACGTCATACCACGTCATCTTTGTTTTTATAAAGAGATTCATTGTCTCTTGGCAAATTGAATATCGTTGGAGCACACACTTCCCTAAGATAAGGTATATCATTGTGTAATATGCTTGAACCCTGCATTTTCCAACTGCCTCAATTTCGATAGTCTCCTTGAACATTATTCCATTGAAATCGCTACCTGTTAAATAATGTGAGAGAAAAGCCCAAAGTGCAGGTCTTTACGACTTTGGTTGAACCCACGAACACGGTAGTGATGCTGACAAACGTATCCCGCCTAGGCAAGGGAGTTAAAATCCTGTAAAAGTCCCTAATCAGCTCCCAGATTGTATCACCTATTTCAGCACGGCTCCCTTGGGGGCTGCATAAATCGCCTTACACGCGCATGCCGCGCGTCGTTGGATAGCTGTGTCCTGTAGCTACACGGAGAATGTTTCCGTTTGTTTTTTACGCAACTTTATAGCCGAGCAATTAAGGTTTCTGTGATTTTAAGCTGTGCGGTTTTTTTCCACGTAGGCCCCGGAGGAAGAAATTTCTTCCACCCAGCCTCCGGTGGAAGTCGCCTGCGCCATGGCATTTTTCAAGCCTTCTACTTTGTCATATCTATGCATGTTATACGTTGTTGGAAACCTTCGGGAAACGCTCTCTCCAAATATGCAAACGTGAATATTGTGCTGCCCCTGGTAACCAGTCCAGATTGAAACTCCGACGTGATGATGTTTGTGTAATTTACTGAAGTTCAATTCTTCTGTGATATAGCAATTTTCGCCAACATCGCGCAGTCATGATATAACGGCTACTATTCTTACACATCACCTCAGAATATACATTTCTATAGCGCGTTTGAAAGCCTATTAAGGCGTGTTTTAGACAATGTATAATACGCACATGTTGCACATTCAGTGGTGGAGCTATATAAGTATTAATGTGCGAATTGCAAAATATATGGGACGTGATATAGATTGGCGGAATTTAGATGAATCTCTACACCGGCTATACCGGCGGTGTTAATATTTACATCTATAGTGCATTTGCAAGATCATTCATGTGGGATTCTGGGAATATGTAATATGTTGTTGTGCAACATTAGATAGTTGAGCAATACAGGAATGAAAATGCTTGACAGAACTAAAAAGTACAAGCGTTTGGAATCTAACCATAACAGCAATACCTGTAGTGTTATTATTTATACTGTTAGTGTATCGGAAAGCCCTTGAAAATGCGGTTCTGCCAAGGTATAATGTGCATTCGATCGACACCTGATAGTCGGGCTATGCGCGCCTTTATATTTTGCTGATACCGGATCAAATCTATGATCTGGCGTGCATGCTCCGTCGGCCCGTCGGCGTTATGACAGCTATACTTTATCACAAAAGCCGCCTCTATTGTCACTTAATTAGCTTTATATCACACTCTATATATCACATCTACGTATCATCATTGTTTTTATAACGTCTGTTTGACCTGTCCTCATGGATTCGTTGTATATACATGCACATCTCTAGCTTCCTGTAAATCTAATAATTATCACTTCATTAGCTGTATATCACTCTGCTGTGTTTACTGTTTAGTCTGAGGCGTGGCAGGTAATTGCCGGAGATGTACCACTAATCAGCAAATTTAATTTCGTCACCGTGGAGATTTGCTAACGTTTTGTTAATATCACTTTGCCTGGGCCACCTCCTTTTGATAAGCAGCTTTGTGATTTTATAATCTTGTCGCCCGACTGATTTCAACCTTGTGCATAGAATGCTTGGTTTTCTTTGCTTTGGTTTGCCCTTGCCCCTCCAAATGGACGTCATGCATAGAATGGAGATGGGCAATTCACAATTTCCTCCTCTCCCTTAAAAACATCCGACTTGGTCACATGACAGTGAGCTTCATCTAAACCATTCCATTGGCTATCTGGCTGGGACGTGGTAATATAAGTGAATGCTCACAATATCATCTTCACAGACCGAGTGTCTTAGTTTATGCATGGTTCGATTCTTAATATCTATAGCGCATTTGAAAGGCCTTTCCAGTGCGCTTCTAACGATGAATAACATGAACATTTGCGACGTTGTGCAAAGGTACCAGTCTTGTCCGTGTATAATGGTAATACATTATGACAATCAATTATAACGTCAGAGCCCTTTCTTTTCATAAATCTAAACATGCACCACTGTATCATGCACATTGCACTACTCGTGATATGTTATGACAAGAAAAACAACCCCAGTCATTTGTTGCCTGCTCCCAACAAATTCCCGAATTCAAAACCAGGGCCTCTTCCAAGGCATTCAACGGTGACAAATGCTGCATATTCATGACTCCACCGTAATATGGTCAATATCGACACACTTGAGCCATTGTAATGCCTTTCATATTTGTAAACCTAATCCTGTACATTTCAAAAGGTTGATTGTTCATTGTTGTTTGTTTTGCTAGTTACAGATTCTGTACGTACAGAATTTAGGCTAACCTTCATCAGGTATCAACTACTTAGTTACTCCAGGGAGACTATATAAGGAGTGTAGAGTATCCCTGGTTACACGTACTGACCCCTACAGGATTCGCGGATGTTATTTTAACTCTTCTTTTTTTTCTAATTGACTATGTTTAGAGTCTTTGAATTTTCCAGTTTTCTGTCCGTCATGTTTTAATTCAGTTCAAGATATCAGTTTTCAGCACTAATGTGTTCCCAGTGGTGTTCTTGAGCACTGTTGAACACATAATTTGGTACATTGTAAGGGGTTTCTTTTGGCAGATGAATTTCTCTGTTCCTTATTGTTCGCGTGAACTTTTGGTCTTATTCTGGCCCCTGTTAGGAACACTAAACGCCACTAGAGATCACTATACATTTCAGTTGTATCTAGTGCGGTTCACGTAAAAGTAATCATGGCTTTACAGTGTATGAACATATGAACTGCGAAGCCACTGGTGTTCACGGAATTGATAAGCATGTCCTACATGAAAGCCAATAGCCGAAAGACCCTGCCATTTATATAGTAAGGTAAGCACATACTGTATATTTACTTTATATAACGTGATAGGTTAACGATTGACAAGTTTTTTCATGTGTTTGTGCTGATGTGGGGTAGGATGCACTCGCCTTTTCGCGAGCACCTGTTGATAGGGATTCATAAACACATGAAATAGTATCATGAAATGGACTGTATTACCAGCTAATTACAAGTGATTTTTTCACTTATACTACATTAACAATATTTGATTATTTGATTTTTTTGTCCATATGAATGAGGAAATATGCCTATGAAACTTTTTCCGTTCGTGCTTTGTTATCAATCATTCGAAACTGAATAATAATAACGCATGAGAAGAAATAATAACGCCCGTTTATTTAAACCGCTTGAATTTATCCGTATTTGCAAATTGATCGTGTAATATTCTACTTAAAGTTTGATAAAGATAAAAGAAAATGTTATCAAAAAATCATCCAACAAAAGAGGCTAAAATATGCCGGTATTCAATAATTTGGAAATCATTATAGAACCTCAGTTTCATGACGAACGGATACAGTCTTAGGCAGGGTGTACACGATGAGCCTAAAAATTGTGTTTAGATGTATCCTGTCAGAATCGTTGCAGGTAATTACAGACAGCGAATCAACGTTATCATTGCTAGAGAGCCAGTTAGGATTGTAAGGAGAACGTACGTATTCTCCTAAGAGAAGCTAAGACTAATTTCAAAATGTGTCCTTTGTAATACAATATCATCGCACACTAATTTGCATAAAGCCATGGTCTGTTCTGAATAAGTCGCATTGGACTTAGAAAATAACCGCATTGCTCATTTCCGCACTAATCTCTCCTCAGTAAAGTCCTTTTTCTACGTTTCCTATCTCCCTCCCACTGCGACTGTAGTTAGGCCGAACTTAGTTTAACAGATATTTCACACTTTCACATATTAACTACCTAAATTGTAGATATAAATGTGAAAAAAACATTATTTTTTCTGTTTCTGACAGTACTTTAGCCGTGTATGATCTGCGGAAAAGATATGTCCTAACGCCGATCCTTGTAGTGATCCAAACTTCAGCTGCTGATTACAGTATATCAGCTGAACCACTGAACCATTTCAGTGCATCTCCTGTAATTCCTAATCAATACTGCAGCGCGTTGAGTAGGATGTTAGGTCGTGTTAGGTCTAGGAGTATTGCAGTGTTGCTGCACCGTATGTATCTACTGTGTGGATTGATGGCTATGATTTGGCTACTTCAGTGGTTCATCAGTTAAGATCTTTCGACAAGTGCTTTGGCATCTGAAAAACTAATGTTTGTGGCAACTTTATCTTGTTAACCTGTTAACCTGTCTTTAACGATATTGGAACATTTTGGAGCTGAAAAGGAGACAGATAGGTGTGGGTTTGCAAGGTTTCGTTATTTTTGCGGGTTGTGAAACAATTTACGCATTGTACACCTTGTTATCTCCGAGACAATATCAATTTCTGCCATGTCATCGAACAGTAGATCTATGTCTCTCAAGATGCCCTTGCTGGTGTTAAGTGTTCGGTATGCAGAAACTGACACGGATATGCCGACAATGATTCAGTTGACATGAGAT